GACTTTCCTAGGGTCTCTCAAAGGTTTACGGAACCCAAAAAAGCAGCGTCTGGCTTGAGCATGTCCTGTACCTCTGGCTGAGCAGCCCTACGCCCGACACTAGCAGCAGCCAGCCTGTTTGCAGTTGGCCCATGCACAGCACAGGCGGCAGCCATCTGCAGATTGCTTTGTGGCTCCTGCCAGCTGGCCCCAGATGGGGGACGGGCTGCAGCTGAAATTAACCTGCAGTGGATCCTCTCCCAGGAGGCCCTGGGATTAGCATCCTGAGTGGCCAGCTTTGAAATGAACTGGTGCATCACCCAGCCACCTCCAAGGGTGACACACCTAAGGGGCAGATTGGGCAGGCACCAGAGCCCTGCTGAGGCAGATCCTGCTCTGTGGGGTCAGCCCCTACACTACAACTCCTCCACTGTAGTCATGGCCAATCCTTACAACCAGTGGGCCTGAGGGTCAATCCCTCCCACTGATGTGCAAACAGCAACCAAGGCTCAACTCCAAGAGGAGGGCACATACAACCCACATAAGGGACACACCTGGAGTATGCGGCTCAGGTGACCAGGAAGACTGTGCCACTGAGCTCCACAGCACACCTACTATATAAAGCCACTCTATGAATACCAGAAGGCATAGAAGCCCTACCTAATATATAGTAACAAACACATGGAGATGGCCATATTGGGGAGACAAAGAAACATGTCCCAAATAAAAGAACAGAACAAAACTCCAGAAAAAGAACTAAACAAAATGGAAACAAGCAATCTATCAGATGCAGAGTTCCAAACACTGGTTATAAGGATGCTCAATGACCAGGGAGAACTTCAACAAAGAGACAGGAAACATAAAAATGGAGTCAGAAAACATTAAAAAACAAAAACAAAAAACAGAAGTAAAGAATACAATAATGGGAATGAAGAATACATTATAGGGAATCAACAGATTAGATGAAGCAGAGGATTGAATCAGTGATTTAGAAGATAAGGTAGCAGAAGACACCCAATCAGAACAGCAAAAAGAAAAAAGAATCCAAAAAACTGAAGAGAGTTTAAGGGACCTCCAGGACAATATCAAGCATACTGACATCTGCATTATAGGGGTACCAGAAGGAGAAGTGAGAAAGCAAGGAATTGAAAACCTATCTGAAGAAATAATGATGGAAAACTTCTCTAACCTGGTGAGGGAAATAGACATACAAGCCCAGAAAGTGCAGAGATTCCCAAACAAGATGAATCCAAACAGGCCCACACCTAGACACATTATAATTTAGATGCCAAAGGTTAAAGACAAAGAGAGAACCTTAAAAGCAGCAAAAGAAAAGCAGTTAGTTACCTACAAGGGAGCTCCCATAAGACTATCAGCTGATTTCTCAACAGAAACTTTGCAGGCCAGATGGGATTGGCAAGAAATATTCAAAGTGATGAAAAGCAAGGACCTACAATCAAGACCACTCTAGACAGCAAAGCTATCATTTAGAATCGAATGATAAATAACAAGCTTCCCAGACAAGAAAAAGCTAAAAGAGTTCCTCACCACCAAACCAGTATTACAAGGAATCTTAGAGGGACGTCTTTATGACAATAAATAAATAAATAATAAAATGAATAGTAAAATGGCAATAACGACATACCTATCAAGAATTACTTTCAATGTAAATGGATTAAATGCTCCAACCAAAAGATAGGGTGGTTGAATGAATAAGAAAACAAGATCCTTACATATGCTGCTTACAAGAGACTTTAGATTGAAAGACACACACATGGACTGAAAGTAAAGGGATGAAAAAAGATATTTCATGAAAATAGAAACAAACAAACAAACAAAAAAGCTGGGGTATCAAAACTTACACCAGACAAAATAGACTTTAAAACAAAGACTATAACAAGAGATAAAGAAGGACCTGGTAATCCCACCTCTGGGTATTTATCCAAAGAAACCCAAATGCTACTTCGAGGGGACATGTGCATCCATATGTTTACTGCAGCATTATTTACAATAGCCAAGATATGAAGTCAACCTGAGTGTCCCTGAATGGATGAATGGATAAAGAAGGGGTGGTAAGTATATACAATGGAATATTACTCAACCATAAATAAAGAATGAAATCTTGCTATCTGTGACAACATGATGGACCTAGTGGGTATTGTGCTGAGTATAGTAGGTCAGATAGTGAAAAATAAATGTCATGTAATTTCACTTACAAGTGGAATCTAAAGAAAAAAATAAACAAACAATGAAACCGAAACAAGCTCATAGATAGAGAACATTTGGGTGGTTGCCAGATGGGAGGGGGCTTGAGGGTAAGTGAAAAAGGGGAAGGGATTAAGAGTGCAAATCGGTTGTTACACACTAGTCATGGGGATGTAGGGTATAGCATAAGGAATATAGTCAATAATATTGGATAACTATGTATGGTATCAGATGGGTACTAGATTTATCAGGGTGATAGATGGGAGTGGGGTTGGGGGGCAGGGTGAAAAAGGTGGAGGATTAAGAAATATAAACTGGTAGTTACAAAATAGTCATGAGGATGTAACATATAGGGAATATAGTCAGTAATATGGTAATCACTATCTATAGTGCCAGGTGGGTACTAGTCAAGGGGAACATTTCATAAGTTATATAAATCTCCAACCACTATGCTCTACACCTGAAACTAATATAAATTAATACTCGATGTCAACTCTAATTGAAAAAAAGGGGTGGGGGGCAAAAGATAAAAAAGAATAAGAGGTTCAAACTTCCAGGTATAAAACAAATAAGTCTTGGGGAATAATGTACAACATAGGAAATATAGTCAATAATATTGTGATAGCATGGCACAGTGTCAGATGGTTGCTGGATTTGTCATGGTCATCACTTCTTTAGCATAGGGAATATAATCAATAATATGGTAATAACTGTATAGTGCCAGGTGGATACTGTTGAATAACTATGGTATATACCTGAAACTAATATAGTATTTTGTGTTAGCTATGTTTTAATAAAAATATTTTTAAAAAGAAAAATAAATTGTGGAGCTAACAGACACATATTTGGATGCTAATAAAATCTTTTTTATTTGATAATGGTAAATAAAAAAATTTTAAAAACCCAGAAGAAAAAGTGCCAAGTTTAGCTCCAGACCTACTGAATCAGAAGTTCTTCAGTGGGGCCCAGCACTCTGTGCTTCATTTAACAAGTCCTGGGGCTTTTGATGCAAGGGAAAGTTGGTGAGCCACTGGTACAGAGGAAACTGGGGTGCAAAGGCTATGTCTTAGTCCATTCAAGCTGCTGTAACAAATTACCATAGACCAGGTGATTTATAAACAACAGAAATTTATTTCTCATGGTTCTGAGGCTGGGAAATCCAATGTAAGGCACCAGCAGATTCAGAACTGCTTCCCAGTTCACAGATGGCCGTCTTCTCGCTGTGTCCTCACATGGCAGAAGGGGCGAGGGAGCTCTCTGGGGTCCCTTTTATAAGGGGACTAATCTTATTCATGAAGATTACAACTTAATCATTTCCCAAGGGCCCCACCTCCACATACCATCATCCCATTGGGGGTTAGGTTTCAACATATGAATTTGGGGTGGATAAAAACATTGTCTATAGTGAGCTGTTTCAGTCCTTTAAAGACTTTAATACCCTGAACAAGTTCCTTTCTCCCTACACTGGTGATCCTCAACGTTGGCTGCACGTTATGAACACATGGGGAGCTTTTAAGCACACCAGTGTCTGGGCACCACCGGAGGTCAATCAAATGGGAATCTCTGGGGAAAGGCCCAAGAATCTGTGTTTTTAAAGTCTCTCCAGGTGATTTTGGTGCAGTGAATTGGGAACCTCTGCAGTAAGCCTGGAGCTCCCCCTCTGTCAAGCGGGCACAATGTCACCACCACCTCTCTGGGTGGGAGAGAGTGCTGGGAGAAATAAGTGAAATGTGTCACATACGTGTCGATGGCCAATTGGACCGCAAGCAGCGTTAGGAAGAATGAGGCTTTCATCCTGTGTTCTCCAGCCTGTCACCCACCGGGTTGTGCAGGGCTCCTGGCTCTGAGATTATGCGTGGTGTAACTTTCCATGAATATCCTCAAGTGTGACTTACGTTCAGCTTCATTTAAGACGGCCGAATCCTGAGCCAGGATCCCTGGATTTCTAAATGCTTTTCTTCCCTCGCTCCTTGGCATTGACACTGGAATAAGTTCTGTGTCTTCCCGACATTTGTCTCAACTCAACAGGAGATTGACAAGTTGAGACTTTCAGTGTGTTGGTGTGTACATTGTGGTGGCATAAAATTTGTGGACCTTTAATACTGTTTTGGCCATGCACTAGTCACAGTAAACCAGCAGGGTGAAACTAAACACTCTGGGGACAGCTCTTCCTGCTGTGCCTGATGGGCTCTGGGGCAGAGTCAGCGTTGAGCTGTCAGCCAGGACCCGAGCCTGGTGGCTGAGGGTTCCCTTGAGGCTGGTCCCCAGGCAGACGGAGGAGACACTGTTTATATTGCACAGAGGACAACAGCAACACACCCAAGTCCTTGGGTAAGGTCTGTGAGCAAAGTTCCGCTCCTGGTGTTGTAGAAAGATTTACTATTTACTCTGGGCTTGGTAATTTAGGAAAAATCTGAGTTTATGGAATTAATGAATTGGACCAATATCTTTTGAGAACCTTTGTGGGATCACCCCAAAGAAGCTGGTAATTGAGATGACATCACAGGGAGCTACCATACAGGCATTGAGAACTAAGTGCCAAAAGAGGGGTGAAGATGTTGGGGGGAGGGGGAGCTACCGGAAGTCAGAGGAACAGGAGCCCCCTTAGCCGGGATGGTCAGAGAGAGCAGCACAGAGAAGATGGCCTTTCATCTAAGCTAGAGGGACAGATGCAGCAATTAACACTGCGTGTCAGCGCCTCCCCCAACGACACTGTCTAAAGTACCATCCCGTCGTTCCTGTCTCGCACTCGGCTTTATTTTTCTCCGTAGCACTAAACACAACCTGACGCTATCTCTGTTTTTTATTTTTGGTAGATAACACTGAACGTTAAGCTCCACAAGGGCAAAGAGTCCATCTGTTTTGCTCATCCCTATACCCAGTGCCTGGACCAGTGCCTGGCTCTCAGTAGACACTCGGTACGTTACCTACGTGG